CCCCCCCCCCCCACCCACCCACCCACACACAAAAAAAGAAAACCCACAAAAAAAACCACCACCAAAAATAACCACACAATACATGCGTGCGGCATGCACACTTACACTTATCTGGAACCCCACCTAAGCATTGATGCAAAGTAATTAAATTTTACTTATGTAACAAATTTAGCATCTTCAACTTCAACATAAATATTTCATTCTGTACAATTGTCTGAATGATTGCATAAGCTAGGTGATCCACTTAGTAATTTGCTATTCACAAAGTTAAGAAAGGCACAGGCATAACCTTTCATTTGCGATCTATATCATTTCCGAGCTGAGCAAGCATTGTCTATAATCACAAATAGAGAAATCTACATCTATAATCAAGTGAACGATCAATTACATAACATAATTAGATAAATTTGTTCCTCAATGCTAATAAGATGGTTGTGAAAAATGACAATAAAGTAAAACTATTATCTTGCAGTTTTTATCCGGAGGGCAGTCCGAAGTAGAAGCAACCCTAAACTTGAATGCGATGAACCAATCCCCCAACCCATGGCACGTATCATTCTCCTATGCACGTGCTCTCCAGAACACTGTGCTGAAAACATGGAAAGGCCTTCCAGAGAACATTGAGGCAGCACAAAAGGCTCTTCTTGTCCGAGCCAAGGCCAACTCCATGGCCCAGCTTGGCCGCTACTCTGCTCAGGGCGAGAGTGAAGAGGCCAAGACCGGGATGTTCCAGAAGGGTTACACTTACTAAGCCAAGGCCAAAACCTATCGGAAATATTATTACGAAGTTGCTTAATAGTAGTGGGTTTTTGCATGTGTTGATTGTGATGCGGTAAGAAACTTCTGATTGTAGTTTTCAAGATGAGGTACCATCAAAATTGTACCGGTTTAGAACAAAAACGGTTCAAAAATGTTATCAGGAAGTCGTAGAAGTAGTTGTTTCTGGAGAGTATAAACTATTTCAGTATCTTGATTGGGGAGCAGTTAACCCTTTTCCTGGTCTCTCTACTTCAGCATCCTGGCATGCTTCCCTCTTTTTCACTCTCAAGTTTAGTTACACCTAACACGGTATTAATGTGCAATGTCCACCGGCACATCATGTTTGAAATTTTGGAGGTAGACAACCTGTCAGCATGAAAAGCCAGTAAAGTGATGGCTATAAAGATGGGGAAACGCCACACGCAAAATTCATCATGTCCGAATACAAAAAATTTCACATGACAACTTAAACGTTTAAAATTAGCTACCTACGATCAGCTATTACTAGCAACCACGTACGGTTGTCAGGGACCGCAAAATGGGAGATAATGACGTTGGAATCTCATTTGTAGAAGCAAAGTTTGAGCGGACTCACTTGATGTTGTTTTCCCAACTAACAAGCGAACAAATTCTTCTCAGTTTGAGCAAAGCTCGCTTCAGACCAATTCCTGTGGTTGAACATTTCAAGGGTTTAATTTCATGATATTTAATCACATTGAAAATTATCACCTAACGCACTACACATGCTCAATTGCTTCAACTTTTTGAGCAAACTTTGAAAAAAAAAATGTATGATTTTAATTTATTCAAGTAATTCCCGTCAAGTGGTGTAGGTGAGAAGGCCAAATTATTGTATTTATATAGCTCCAGAAACCAGATATGAGAAAAATATTTTGCATATATCAACTTCACCTACTTATAATCTCTTAAATGAACTTACAGAGATATCATTATCCCCTTGATGCCGTGCCTTAACCGTAACAGCCTGAAGCTCTTTATTCTTTTTTCTTTATGAAATTTAAATTGTTTTTTGTATGATACAAAAAACAACATTCCTTTGCGCTTATGAATTTTCTATATATTTCCTGAAAGAATTTTCTTGATAAATCTCAAGTCTGCGGTATTTCATGTTAAATATCATCACAATACATACCTTTATTTTGTTCAATTTAAGCATCTTAGTGTGGGACGATTTTTCACTCCGTATTGTCGCAAGAACATGATGAATTCAGCTGTCTACTTCTTCACATTCCAATAGTATTATTTTGCAAGTTCAGTTGTTAGAGGGACTTTTTAAATGCTTAAACATGCATTAGTTTTTAGAAACTGGAATCTTAACTGCAATATAGAGAATTTATTAGGAGAATGCACGAATTAGAAATGGAGTGATTAATTTATTCAAGACCTATAATTTTCTTATTAAATGAGGGAGGAGATGCCACTGAAAATACTTTTTAAGATAGTTCGAGATTAATAAATATTGACAAATATAGTTTCATATATCAATCATTTGGTATTCAAAAAGCATCCCTATCTCCTTGATGTTGTGCCTCCTAAGTCCTAACTGCAGCTAACAGCCTCAAAGTCTTCCAGCCACAACAACAACAACAACAACAACAACAAAAACGCCACAGATTCTTTAAAAACTAAATTGTTTTCATATCGCACTGAAATTAATTTTGATTTGCGATTACACTTTTTTATATATTCCCCTCAAAGTATTGTAGATTTGGCGAAGGATTTGGTGAAGAATAGGAATTTTAGACACATGGAGTTGGTTTTGGAGTTGTTCGGTCGACCGCGGTGCTAGGCTGGTCAACCGAACACGTGCACGAGCTCAGGTTTTGATTCTGGATTTGGTGCGGTCGACCGCCACGGTCGACCGCCAAACCCTGTAATCGATTCTGAGGCTCTGGAGTTGGTAGCGGTCGATCGCCGCAGTTGACCGCCAAACCCTGTAATTGTTTTCTGGGTTCTGTCGTTAGTCGCGGTCGATCGCGAGCTTTGTGCGGTCGACCGCCAGTCGGGTCTGGCCCAGAATTTGGTTTCCTGCTCTGATTTGGTTTTGTGTTGATATATAATCCTAAACAAGTTTTAGAGTTTTTTTTGGAGAGCAATATAGGGGATATTTGGAGCACAGAAAAGATGTATTTTCTGAAGCTATTGGTTAGGGTTTTGTTTGAGAGATTAAAAGCTTTGTTGGTGAGATTAATTGGAGAGTTTGAGTGATTTGTAATCTCAGTTTGTACTCTTCTTCTCTATTAGTGAAAACCCCATCTCCTTCTTGCCCCGTGGACGTAGGTAACTTGTCGAACCACGTAAATTTAGTGTGTTTGTGTTTGTGTTTATACCGTTATTTTGGTTTGTTTGGTCTTCTCTCTCGGCGTTTGGTTTAGTTCCTCGAAGCACAACAATTGGCTTCCGCGCACAACAAGCGGTATCAGAGCACAACAAGTGATATCAGAGCTTGGACTACACTTGGGCTAATTGAAGGAGTAGATCACTTCGGAAGTTCGTCTAGGGCTTCAGTTGGTGATAAATGTGGGATTTTTACTATTGTGTATCTTGTCTTCCATCGTGTGGGGGTAAGATCTTTTGGAGGCTCTTGTTAGGATTTCAGTTGGAGGTAAAAATCTACCTTTCTTGCAGTTTGGATCTATTTTCTTTCAGTTTGTTTCGCATTGGTTTGTTGGTGCTTTGAGGAAGATGGTTGAGAAAGAAGGATTTAAGGCTGGGATATTCGATTATTAGTGCCATGCATTGATTGTTGAGGAGCACTTTAACTTGCAGATTGAAGTCCTGTGAGCACATTTATATGAGCAAGGAGACCGAGGTGAAGTTTAGCACTTTTATTCACCGAACGAGGGGTCTTCTAGGTGGTGTTCATTTAGGCATTTGGGGGCCTTCCAAGGAGGCATCATTGTGAGTTAATCGGTATTTGGTTTTTTACGTTGGGGATTGTTCTAGGCATTTGTGGGTTACAACCAAGTCCCGTTGGTATGAAGTCCTAGAAGTCAACAACATATGGAGGAAGTGTATTGGCGGAAAGGTAACACGACGTTCTGTTTTTGGTAGGGGTTCTTTTCTACATTTGTGCCGAGCTCATGGCAGTTTGAGACACTTCATTGAAGAGAAAACATTAGGGCGACGATATGAGATGACAGTTTTGATGGGTCGTTCCTTACTAGAGGAGGATCGACGTTTGATGTCGAGCATTGATTTTGGTGTTTGGGCATTGACATATTTGGGTCATCTTAGTTATAGGTTGCTGACTGCTGCGTTTAGAGATTTTGGATCTGATGGAGCTGCTTCAGATATTAGGTTGCTTCGGATGTTTGGTCGTCCAACATATAGTCACATCGAGGATGTGAGATTTGATCCGAGTACACATTTAGGATTCAGAGGCGTGTTTGATTATCAGGTATTGGTTTCTGATTTTATTTTGAGCAGGTATGTCATATTTAACTCTCGGCAAGTGAAGAGTATTGATCAGATCGTTAGGATATTGCAGCGGGTATGATGAATTCAGCTGTCTACTTCTTCACATTCCAATAGTATTATTTTGCAAGTTCAGTTGTTAGAGGGACTTTTTAAATGCTTAAACATGCATTAGTTTTTAGAAACTGGAATCTTAACTGCAATATAGAGAATTTATTAGGAGAATGCACGAATTAGAAATGGAGTGATTAATTTATTCAAGACCTATAATTTTCTTATTAAATGAGGGAGGAGATGCCACTGAAAATACTTTTTAAGATAGTTCGAGATTAATAAATATTGACAAATATAGTTTCATATATCAATCATTTGGTATTCAAAAAGCATCCCTATCTCCTTGATGTTGTGCCTCCTAAGTCCTAACTGCAGCTAACAGCCTCAAAGTCTTCCAGCCACAACAACAACAACAACAACAACAACAAAAACGCCACAGATTCTTTAAAAACTAAATTGTTTTCATATCGCACTGAAATTAATTTTGATTTGCGATTACACTTTTTTATATATTCCCCTCAAAGTATTGTAGATTTGGCGAAGGATTTGGTGAAGAATAGGAATTTTAGACACATGGAGTTGGTTTTGGAGTTGTTCGGTCGACCGCGGTGCTAGGCTGGTCAACCGAACACGTGCACGAGCTCAGGTTTTGATTCTGGATTTGGTGCGGTCGACCGCCACGGTCGACCGCCAATTCCTGTAATCGATTCTGAGGCTCTGGAGTTGGTAGCGGTCGATCGCCGCAGTTGACCGCCAAACCCTGTAATTGTTTTCTGGGTTCTGTCGTTAGTCGCGGTCGATCGCGAGCTTTGTGCGGTCGACCGCCAGTCGGGTCTGGCCCAGAATTTGGTTTCCTGCTCTGATTTGGTTTTGTGTTGATATATAATCCTAAACAAGTTTTAGAGTTTTTTTTGGAGAGCAATATAGGGGATATTTGGAGCACAGAAAAGATGTATTTTCTGAAGCTATTGGTTAGGGTTTTGTTTGAGAGATTAAAAGCTTTGTTGGTGAGATTAATTGGAGAGTTTGAGTGATTTGTAATCTCAGTTTGTACTCTTCTTCTCTATTAGTGAAAACCCCATCTCCTTCTTGCCCCGTGGACGTAGGTAACTTGTCGAACCACGTAAATTTAGTGTGTTTGTGTTTGTGTTTATACCGTTATTTTGGTTTGTTTGGTCTTCTCTCTCGGCGTTTGGTTTAGTTCCTCGAAGCACAACAATTGGCTTCCGCGCACAACAAGCGGTATCAGAGCACAACAAGTGATATCAGAGCTTGGACTACACTTGGGCTAATTGAAGGAGTAGATCACTTCGGAAGTTCGTCTAGGGCTTCAGTTGGTGATAAATGTGGGATTTTTACTATTGTGTATCTTGTCTTCCATCGTGTGGGGGTAAGATCTTTTGGAGGCTCTTGTTAGGATTTCAGTTGGAGGTAAAAATCTACCTTTCTTGCAGTTTGGATCTATTTTCTTTCAGTTTGTTTCGCATTGGTTTGTTGGTGCTTTGAGGAAGATGGTTGAGAAAGAAGGATTTAAGGCTGGGATATTCGATTATTAGTGCCATGCATTGATTGTTGAGGAGCACTTTAACTTGCAGATTGAAGTCCTGTGAGCACATTTATATGAGCAAGGAGACCGAGGTGAAGTTTAGCACTTTTATTCACCGAACGAGGGGTCTTCTAGGTGGTGTTCATTTAGGCATTTGGGGGCCTTCCAAGGAGGCATCATTGTGAGTTAATCGGTATTTGGTTTTTTACGTTGGGGATTGTTCTAGGCATTTGTGGGTTACAACCAAGTCCCGTTGGTATGAAGTCCTAGAAGTCAACAACATATGGAGGAAGTGTATTGGCGGAAAGGTAACACGACGTTCTGTTTTTGGTAGGGGTTCTTTTCTACATTTGTGCCGAGCTCATGGCAGTTTGAGACACTTCATTGAAGAGAAAACATTAGGGCGACGATATGAGATGACAGTTTTGATGGGTCGTTCCTTACTAGAGGAGGATCGACGTTTGATGTCGAGCATTGATTTTGGTGTTTGGGCATTGACATATTTGGGTCATCTTAGTTATAGGTTGCTGACTGCTGCGTTTAGAGATTTTGGATCTGATGGAGCTGCTTCAGATATTAGGTTGCTTCGGATGTTTGGTCGTCCAACATATAGTCACATCGAGGATGTGAGATTTGATCCGAGTACACATTTAGGATTCAGAGGCGTGTTTGATTATCAGGTATTGGTTTCTGATTTTATTTTGAGCAGGTATGTCATATTTAACTCTCGGCAAGTGAAGAGTATTGATCAGATCGTTAGGATATTGCAGCGGGTGAAGGGTGATGCTACTCCACGTTAGGTGGAGATTACTCCATATACTCCAGATCATACTGCATTGATTGGGATTCCAGGTGAGGTGACACAGTTTGGGGATCATATTGATGTGGATGCAGATGATGAGTTGGTTGATTCGAGTAGCTGGTGGACATAGTTCGTATTTTGATATGGTCATTGGTTTACCTCAGATGGAGATGTTTGGATCGTTTCACTTTGGGGCCATTGGAAGAGCTATCAGTTGCAGATTTGTTGGTGATGTTGGTAAAGGGTTGAGAACTCTTCTAGTTGATTGAGGGCCTTTGGAGGCTATTTGGTAAACTACGTGAAGGCTTGATTCCTTGGTAAAGATGATACGTAGGCAGTCATTTATGATGCAGCCGGTTTGGTGAGTTGATATCGACGTTTGGAGAGTGCTCACGTTCTCATTTGGGTCTCGACTTATTTTTTTTTTTGTGGATTGAGTCCGTTGCTGTGGATTTGTTCTACTTCGTACTGGACGCAACAAGTAAGACGTTTGGTTGGTATTGGTGTTGGCTCAGTTTTGGAAAAACTTCACCCGACGTGGAGAATTGTAGATTTGGCGAAGGATTTGGTGAAGAACAGGAATTTTGGACACAGAGAGTTTGTTTTTGAGTTGTTTGGTCTACCGCGATGCTAGACCAGTCGACCGAATACGTGCATGAGCTCATGTTTTGATTTTGGATTTGGTGCGGTCGACTGCCACGGTCGATCGTCAAACCATGTAATCGATTTTGAGTCTCTGGAGTTGGTAGCGGTCGACCACCATAGTCGGCC